TTCTATTTCCAGGTCTGTATATTAATTGGAAGTTAAATCGGTTAAAGAATAGGTTCCATCTAACTTGTCTAGCTGTAAGGGTTTTGTTAGTATAGAGATATTCAAGATTTTTATGGTCAGTATAAACTATTATAGGTTGTTTTGTATCTTCCAGAAGATGACGCCAATTTTCGAAGGCAGCTTTAACACTTAATAATTCTTTTTCACCAATAGGATAATTTTTTTCAGCAGAGCTCAAGGATCTTGAAAAAAAGGCAACGGGATGAAGTGGATCTTGTGGAGTCTTTTGTTGAGAAAGAACTGCTCCGATGGCTGCATCTGATGCATCAACTTCAAGAACATATAGGAATGTTGGATTAGGTATTTGTAGAATAGGTGCAGTTGTAAATCTTTTTTTTAATTCGTCGAAGGCTGTTTGAGCATCTTTATTCCAATTAAAAGGACGTTTACTACTGTTGAGGAGGTTAAGAGGATGTGATACATCCGAATAGTTTCTAATAAATTTTCTATAGAAGTTTGCAAATCCAAGAAAACGTTGTAATTCTTTTGTTGTAGTAGGAGCAGGCCAATCAATAATACATTTGATTTTGGAATTATCCATCTTCAAAGAATGAGGTGAAATAATGTATCCTAGAAAAGAGAATTCAGTAACCTCAAAAAAGCATTTTTCTGGTTTAGCGTATAATTTATGAGTTCTCAGTCTAGATAGAACCCATCTAACATGTTTCCTATGTTCATCCAAATTGTTAGAATATATTAAGATATCATCTAAGTAGATAATAACACATACATCCAGAAGATCTCTAAAGATATCATTGATAAAATGTTGAAACGTTGCAGGGGCATTACAGAGCCCGAAAGTCATCACTAGATATTCGTAGAGACCATATCTTGTCCGGAAGGCGGTTTTCCATTCATCATCCTGTTTTATTCTAATGAGGTTATATGCGCCTCGAAGGTCGAGTTTAGTGAATATAGTTGCAGTTTCTTAACCTTTCAATTAATTCATTTATTAGTGGAAGAGGATAACGATTTTTAATAGTTATTTTATTTAAGGCTCTGTAATCTATAATAGGGCGGATGGTTTGGTCTTTATTCTTCACAAAGAAAATACTAGAAGCAGCTGGGGAGGTCGAGGGTCTGATGAACCCTTTGCGTAAATTTTCATTAAGATATTCTTTTAAAATTTCTAACTCCTTTTCAGAGAGTGGATAAATATGACCATAAGGAATAGGAGCTCCGGGTATGAGATCTATTGGGCAATCATATACCCGATGAGGAGGAAGTGTTTCCGCTTCTTTTTTACAAAAGACATCTGCAAAATCGGAGTAGAATGGAGGTATAACTGATTCTACAGTAGTTTGGAGAATAGGAATGTGTTGTAAGCACGTTTTTTTACAGAAATCAGAAACAAAGGAGATGGAGAAGGGAGACCACTTAATTAAAGGATCATGGTTTTTTAACCAATTAATTCCTAGAATGACGGGATAAAGTGGAGATTTAATAATATCAAATGTAATGAATTCGAAATGTACGTTGTTGGTAATCATTCTTAGAGGGATTGTTTCATCTTTGATGGGTCCTGAGGATATAAATGAACCGTCAATAACTCTGATTGGAATAAAATTGGTTTTTTGAACACAAGGAATTTTATTTTTTGAAACAAAAGAAAAATCAAGAAAAGTTCCATTAGCACCAGAATCAATGATGGCCTCAGTCACGATTCTTTTTGTATCCCACTGTAATATGAGAGATATAGAAAAATAAGTAGATGCTTTTCTTTTTTGAAAAACGTTCAATATAGAGGTAGATGAATGAAGCTTACCACCTTTTGAATGTTTCAGTAGAGGACATTCGGAAATTAGATGTTCATTCGAAGCACAATACATACATAAGTTTAGTTGTCTCCTTCTTATTCTTTCTTCAGAAGTAAGAGGACTTTTTATTATACCTACTTCCATAGGTTCAGTTTGTGGAGGAATTTTTTCAGGTAGTTTTAGAGTAGTGAAAGGTTTTCTCCAGGTAGAATTAGTAAGAACCCTTTCAGCTTTTCTTTCTCTTAGACGTCTATCAATACTGATAGACAGTTGAATCAATGCATTTAAGGTAGGAGGAAGTTCTGTACGAGAGAGTTCATCTTTCACAGCTTCAGATAATCCGAGACGGAATTGATTGCGTAAAGTAATGTCATTCCATTGGGTTTCTGTAGCCCATCTTTTGAATTCTGCAATATAATCTTCAACAGGTCTATTCTTTTGGTGTAATGTTCTGATGGTTAAATCAGCAGTAGTTTGTTTAAAAGGATCTTCATATAATAAAGACATAGCTTCAAAGAACTCATCCAATGAATCTAATATGGGATCATCATTTTCCAAAAAGGAATGGGCCCAGGCCATAGGTTCACCTCTTAAAAAAGAGATCACTGAACAGACTTTGGATCTTTCGGTGGGATAAGATCTAGGTTTTAAAGCAATTAGTAGTTTGCAAGAATTCAAAAACTCTCTGTACTTTGTTCTATCTCCATGAAATTTTTCTGGATTACAGACAGCAGGATCACCAGCCGATTGAAGAGCGGCATGAGGAAGATGACCTTGAATGTCTCTAACATAGGTTAATATTCTCTCATTTGTAATTTGCAGTTCCTGTAACCCTTGAGCAATCGTATCCACTCTATTGGTTAGGGCAGAAACTTGAGAGTTAATATCTGCTGGTTCCATTGAAGATGCTGGATTATTCTGTAATACTTATTTTGTAATATTTCTTTAATTGGAACTCAACTGCAGCATTTCTTGGTTGCAACAACAATAAGGTTCACCTCCTTTTATATTGGTATGAAACTATGGTCACTGTACCTTTAAATATCCATGTAGGTAAAATTAGGCTTTGTAGCAATCCCTTATGAGTAAGAGGAATAATTAGACAAAGTGACACTTTAGTGAGTTTTAGATACTGTGTAATATAAATAATAGTAATTGACTTGTTTGGTAAAAGTATTACTTAACTTAAAGGCAGTTCTGGCACTGGAAGGGTTAATTCACCCAATGAAGGAGAAATTAGAAGTCCGTTTCAACAAGCTGAGAACTAGGAGTGGAGAGTGGGGAAGTCCGTTTTAACAAGCCGAGGTCTGGGGGTGGAGAAGGTAGAATTCAGAGTTACAAGCCGAGGTCTAGGAGTGGAGAAGGTAGAAATCCGTTTACAAGCCGAGGTCGAGAAGTGGAGAAGGTAGAAATCTGTTTACTAGCCGAGGTATAGAAGTGGAGCAGGTAGGATCAGAAGTAGAGCAGCTGATCTTCATGCAGCACCTGTGCGAATAATTCAGCCCTTTGAATCTGGCGCGGTCCTCCTAAGTATCGTGGAGGGACCGCGTCAGAGAAAGGGGCGGGGCTGAGCGCCGTGAACCCGGAAGTGGGTTCCGGCGATAAATTACATGCCATGCTATACCTGACAATAATCTTCTTCCATTAATCTTACCTTAACCTTCTCCCACTAACCTTACAGTAACCTCCACTAACTGTACAGTAAACTCCACTAACCTTACCCTAACCTCCTTCCACTAACCTTACAATAACCTCCACTAACCTTACCCTAACCTTCTCCCACTAACCTTACAATAACCTCCACTAACCTTACCCTAACCTTCTCCTACTAACCTTACAGTAACCTCCACTAACCTTACAGTAACCTCCACTAACCTTACCCTAACCTTCCCCCACTAATCTTACCCTAACCGTCTCCCAATAACCTTAAAGTAACCTCCACTAACCTTACCCTAATAATCTCCCACTTACCTTACAGTAACCTCCACTAACCTTACCCTAACCTTCTCCCACTAACCTTCTCCCACTGACCTTCCTGTAACCTCCACTAACCTTACCATAATCATCTTCCATTAACCTTACCCTAACCTTCTCCCACTAACTTTACAGTAACCTCCACTAACCTTACCCTAACCTTCTCCCACTAATCTTACAGTAACCTCCACTAACCTTACCCTAACCTTCTCCCACTAACCTTACACTAACCTCCACTAACCTTACCCTAACCTTCTCCCACTAACCTTACAATAACCTCCACTAACCTTACCCTAACCCTCTCCCTAACCTTACCCTAACCCTCTCCCACTAACCTTCCTCTAACCTCCACTAACCTTATCATAATCTTCTTCCATGTATCTTACCCTAACCTTCTCCCACTAACCTTACAGTAACCTCCACTAACCTTACTCTAATCATCTCCCACTAACCTTACAACAACCTCCACTAACCTTACCCTAACCTTCTCCCACTAATCTTACAATAACCTCCACTAACCTTACCCTAACCCTCTCCCTAACCTTACCCTAACCCTCTCCCACTAACCTTCCTCTAACCTCCACTAACCTTACCCTAACCTTCTCCCACTAACCTTACAGTAACCTCCACTAACCTTACCCTAACCTTAGCCCACTAACCTTCCAGTAACTTTCTCATACTAACCTTACTATAACCTCCTTTAATTTTACCCTAGCCTTTTACTACTAACCTTACTGTACTCTCCACTAACCTTACCCTAATCTTCTCCCACAAATCTCACCCTAACCTTATTAGAATAACCTTCACTTACCATACCATAACTTTCACTAACCTTACCCTAGCCTCCTCCCATTATCCTAACCATGACATTCACTATTCTTAACCCTAAGCGTCTCCCACTACACTTCCCATTAATCAGTACCCTCCTTTAACCTTACTGTAACCTACCCAAACCTTCTCCCAATAATCTTATTGTAACCTCCACTAGCTTTAGTGTATCCTCCCCTTATCATACCCTTACCTCCACTAACCTTCTCCCACTAATCTTACCATAACCTTTACTAACCTGACTGTGCCATCCACTAACCTTACCCTAACCTCTCTTTAACATTACCTTAACCTAGGGCTTGATAAATTTGCTTGGAATCTAGGAGCCAGCTAAAAAAGTAGAGGAGAGAGTAATTCACGTCTCAGGTTAACATGTATTGATTACCTCTTGTGTTTGGTTATAAAGTCCACTATCTCCTGTTCACTATATGGTTTATCAGGAATTGTGATCGGCTCATCCATAAATGGTTCATAGAAATCCACCTCATTCAACTTCAGAGTCAGAGCCTTGGCCACCTGTGAACAGGACCATATTACCATCAGCCCATTTATAGAACATGTACCCAACCACCCTTATCATTGCCTACCATATAAACTGATCTGTAACAATCTAATCCTTTCACTCTGAGCCACACAAAGGTCTGACAATCTACTCCTCTCACTCCGAGCCACACAACTAATATCTGAAAATCTAATCCTCTCACTCTGAGCCACACAACTAATCTCTCACTGCAAGCCACATGACTAATCTCTGATAAGCTACTCCTCTCACTGTAAGTCACACCCAACTGATCTCTGACAATCTACTCATCTCACTCCGAGTCACACGACTAATCTCTGACAATCTACTCCTCTGACTCCGAGCCCCATGACTAAGCTCTGACAATCAACTCCTCTCACTCTGAGCCAGCCCACCTTAACACTTAATCCAACCCATTAACATAGCTGTCATTTGTATGGCATATATCTGTATATTTTTTCCTTCATTTCTCCCATAACTGTTTGGATGGTCCTATTTTAGCTTCTGACCTGCTCGGCCAGTCTGTCTCTGTGTCCCTATTTCCACCTGACTCCTGCTGTCCCTTTCAAACTCGCCTTTAATGAGCAAGAATCTGCTACGTGCACATCCGCTTTCCAGGAACCAGCTTAATTCCAGACCCTAACCTTCAGTGGGAATGGTTCCTAATCAATAAGGCGCAGTGGCTAAGTGGTAAGGCGTTGGTCTCGTAAACCAAAGATCATGGGTTCAATCCCCATTTGTGCCCAAGTAAGTTGGAAAAGATTTGTCCATTGTATTCAACTCAACAGCACCTCATTTATGCATACTTTATACAAAACCGAAGAGTTCTTCACAGGTCCATTAACTGAAAGTTTTTAACAGAGTAAAGGAGTTTAAGCATGCGTGGGATAGGCATAAGGCTATCCTAGCTATAAGATAAGGCCAGGGACTAATGAAAGTATTTAGAAAATTGGGCAGACTAGATGGGCAGAATGGTTCTTATCTGCCGTCACATTCTATGTTTCTAATAGCTGTTTCATACCCTAACCTTCAATGGGAATGGTTCCCAATCAATAGCTGTTTCATACCCTAACCTTCAATGGGAATGGTTCCCAATCAATAGCTATTCCAGTCCCTAACCTTCAGTGGGAATAGTTCCCAATCAATAGCTATTCCAGTCCCTAACCTTCAGTGGGAATAGTTCCCAATCAATAGCTATTCCAGTCCCTAACCTTCAATGGGAATGGTTCCCAATCAATAGCTATTCCAGTCCCTAACCTTCAATGGGAATGGTTCCCAATCAATAGCTATTCCAGTCCCTAACCTTCAATGGGAATGGTTCCCAATCAATAGCTATTCCAGTCCCTAACCTTCAGTGGGAATGGTTCAAAATCAATATCTCACCGATTTCTCGAATGTTGCAAAGAACCTGATGTACGGATGGAAATGTTCTGCGGCTTCTTCAAACTCTTTGTAATCTGAGGAAATAAAAAAAATGAAAGTCTCACAGACAGTGATCGCCCCTGACCACATCTTCTTAGAGCCAAACATTACAGAATGTGTTCTGATAAAAATAGACACATTCCCAGTGTTTCAAGCTGTAACTTCAACACGTTTAGCAAGCTGTGATGATAATGGCGTTTACTGAAAAGTTGGCATTTCATTCTAGGAGGCTGATTTTAAGAGCGCTTGGCAAAGAGCACAGATTCCATGTATTAGCAGGACTGTCGTTCCACTCAGTGCCCAGTCTATACTCACACTCTGTGCCCAGTCTATACTCACACTCTGTGCCCAGTCTATACTCACATTTATTGTGCCCAGTCTATACTCACATTTATTGTGCCCAGTCTATACTCACATTTATTGTGCCCAGTCTATACTCACACTCAATGCACTGTTTATATTCACACTCAGTGCCCAGTCTATACTCATGTTTTTTTGTGCCCAGTCTATACTCACACTCACTGTCCCCAGTCTATACTCACACTTTTTGTAACTAGTCTATACTCAAACTCAGTGCCCGGTCTATGCTCACACTCTTTGCACCCAGTCTATACTCACACTCTGTGTTTAGTCTATACTCACACTCTGTCCCCAGTCTATACTCACACTTTTTGTAACTAGTCTATACTCACACTCAGTGCCCGGTCTATGCTCACACTCAGTGCCCGGTCTATGCTCACACTCTTTGCACCCAGTCTATACTCACACTCTTTGCACCCAGTCTATACTCACACTCTGTGTTTAGTCTATACTCACACTCTGTCCCCAGTCTATACTCACACTTTTTGTAACTAGTCTATACTCACACTCAGTGCCCGGTCTATGCTCACACTCAGTGCCCAGTCTATACTCACACTCTGTATTTAGTCTATACTCACACTCTGTGCCCAGTCTATACTCACACGTGGTGTGCTCAGTTTATACTCACACTTTGTGCCCATGGTCAACACACACAGTCACAATATGAATTCAAAATTCTCACAATCTGTACTCACACTCTGAGTCCTCGCTCTTGAAGAAGCCAATGACTCTTGTTTCCTCCTCCATCCTGTCCAGAGCTTTAAGCTCCACGTTGCTGTTAATTAGTTCAACTGGATTCTCGATCAGCTGGGGGTAAAAGGGATCTGTCATCAGAGAATCAACTGTCATCATAGAATCAACTGGGGGTAAAATTGATCTGTTATTAGAGAATCAGCTGGGGTAAAAGGGATCTGTCATCATAGAATCAAACTGGGGTAAAAAGGATCTGTCATCATAGAATCAAATTGGGGTAAAAAGGATCTGTCATCAGAGAATCAGCTGGGGGTAAAAGGGATCTGTCATCATAGAATCAAATGGGGGTAAAAGAGACCTGTCATATAGAATCAAATGGGGGTAAAAGGGATCTGCCATTAGAGAATCAGCTGGGGGTAGAAGGGATCTGTCATCATAGAATCAAATGGGGGTAGAAGAGAACTGCCATTAGAGAATCAGCTGGGGGTAGAAGGGATCTCTCAGAGAATTGACTGGGTTAAAAGGGATCTGTCATTAGAGAATCGTCTATGACAAAGCGGATCTCTCATTAGGGAATCGGCTGGAGGTAAAACAGATCTCTCATTAGAGAATTGGCTGGGGTGAAAGGGATCTCTCATTAGGGAATCGGCTGGGGTGAAAGGGATCTCTCATTAGGGAATCGGCTGGGGTGAAAGGGATCTGTCATTAGAGAGACATCTGTAGGTGAAAGTATCAGTATCTCTGACTCTGACTATTGTATTCTTTTTTTCAGTTTACAGAAGAAAACTCACATCTAGCAGGAAATCCACCAACACATCTGCTGCCAGCTGCCCGTCAAACTCTATGACATTGTCCTCCTTAAAGATGTACAGACTGCCCTCCTCGGAACAACCTTTCAGGAGACAGACATTGGGGATTAACAGTGAAAGGAGATCAATATTAGAGAGAAAATGGATGGATGGAAGTTCAGAACATGAGGGGGGAAACATAGAATGTGACGGCAGATAAGAACTATTCGGCCCATCTAGTCTGCCCAATTTTCTAAATACTGTCATTAGTCCCTAGTCTTATCTTATAGTTAGGATAGCCTTATGCCTATCCCACGCATGCTTAAACTCCTTTACTGTGTTAACCTCTACCACTTCAGCTGGAAGGCTATTCCATGCATCCACTACCCTCTCAGTAAAGTAATACTTCCTGATATTATTTTTAAACCTTTGTCCCTCTAATTTAAGACTATGTCCTCTTGTTGTGGTAGTTTTTCTTCTTTTAAATATAGTCTCCTCCTTTACTGTGTTGATTCCCTTTATATATTTAAATGTTTCTATCATATCCCCCCTGTCTCGTCTTTCCTCCAAGCTATACATGTTAAGATCCTTTAACCTTTCCTGGTAAGTTTTATCCCGCAATCCATGAACCAGTTTAGTAGCCCTTCTCTGAACCCTCTCTAAGGTATCAATATCCTTCTGAAGATACGGTCTCCAGTACTGTGTACAATACTCCAAGTGAGGTCTCACCAGTGTTCTGTACAATGGCATGAGCACTTCCCTCTTTCTACTGCTAATACCTCTCCCTATACAACCAAGCATTCTGCTAGCATTTCCTGCTGCTCTATTACATTGTCTGCCTACCTTTAAGTCATCAGAAATAATCACCCCTAAATCCCTTTCCTCATATGTTGAGGTTAGAACTCTATCAAATATTCTGTACTCTGCCCTTGGGTTTTTACGTCCAAGATGCATTATCTTGCACTTATCCACATTAAATGTCAGTTGCCACAATTCTGACCATTTTTCTAGTTTACCTAAATCATTTGTCATTTGGCTTATCCCTCCTGGAACATCAACCCTGTTACATATCTTAGTATCATCAGCAAAAAGACATACCTTACCATCAAGACCTTCTGCAATATCACTAATAAAAATATTAAAGAGAATGGGTCCAAGTACAGATCCCTGAGGTACCCCACTGGTGACAAGTCCAAGCTTCGAATATACTCCATCGACTACAACCCTCTGTTGCCTGTCACTCAGCCACTGCCTTACCCATTCAACAATATTAGAATCCAAACTTAAATATTGCAGTTTATTGATAAGCCTTCTATGTGCAACAGTGTCAAAAGCCTTACTGAAATCTAGGTAAACAATGTCTACTGCACCACCCTGGTCTATTATTTTAGTTACCCAATCAAAAAAATCAATAAGATTAGTTTGGCATGATCTCCCTGAAGTAAACCCATGTTGTCTCTGATCTTGAAATCCATGTGTTTTTAGATGTTCATCAATCCTATCCTTTAACATGGATTCCATCACTTTCCCCACTACTGAAGTAAGGCTTACTGGCCTATAGTTGCCCGACTCCTCCCTATTACCTTTCTTGTAAATGGGCACAACATTTGCTTACTTCCAATCTTCTGTGACTACTCCTGTTAACAATGATTGGTTAAATAAATCTGTTAATGGTTTTGCTAGTACACCACTAAGCTCTTTTAATAGCTTTGGGTGTATTCCATCAGGTCCCATTGACTTATTTGTCTTTACTTTTGACAGTTGAAATAGAACCTCTTCCTCTGTAAACTCACGTGCAATAAATTACTCATTTATCATTTTTCTTAACTGAGGTCCCTTTCCTTCATTTTCATCTGTACATACAGAACAAAAATATTCATTGAGGCAGTCAGCCTGGTCTTTATCCTCTTCTACATACCTTCCTTCTTTTGTTTTTAATCTAACTAATCCTTGTTTTACTTTTCTTTTCTTATTTATGTATCTAAAAAATGTTTTATCCCCCTTTTTTCCTGACTGTGCTATTTTCTCTTCTGTGTGTGATTTGGAAGCTCTTATAACTTGCTTAGCCTCTTTCTGCCTAATCGTATAGATCTGTCTGTCTTCCTCACTCTGGATTTTTTTGTATAATTACTAAATGCTAACTTTTAGTTTTTTTATTATTTTGGCCATATCTGTGGAGTACCACAGTGGTTTCTTAAATTGTTTGCTTTTACTGACAAGCCTAATGCAATTTTCTGTTGCTTTCAGTAGTGCAACTTTTAAATAATCCCATTTCTCTTGGACAGAGCATGTGGGGGGAGGTAAAGAACATAAGGGGGGGAGGCACAGAGCATGAGGATGGAGGCACAGAGCATGAGGGGGGAGGTACAGGAGATAAAGAGCATGTGGGGAGGGGTACAGAGCATGTGGGAGGTACAGAGCATGAGGGGCTGGTATAGAGCATGAGGGGAGGTATAGAGCATGAGGGGGGAGGTATAGAGCATGGTGGGGAGGTACAGAGCATGTGGGGAGGTACAGAGCATGTGGTGGGGAGGTACAGAGCATGTAGGGGGAGGTACAGAGCATGTGGGGGGAGGTACAGAGCATGTGGGGGGAGGTACAGAGCACCCTTATGCCCACCCAGCCCCCACAGGAGATACAAAGCATGTCGGGGAGGTACAGATCATGTGCTGGGAGGTACAGAGCATGTGGGGGGAGATACAAGAGGTACAGATCATGCTGGGGAGGTAAAAGCATTCGGGGGTGTAGGTACAGATCATGAGAGAGGAGGTACAGAGCATGTGGGGGAATGCAGTGGATGCAGTAAGATGATGCAGTGAGGGGATGTAGTAAGATGATGCAGTGTATGCAGTGAGGGGATGTAGTAAGATGGTGCAGCGTATGCCGGGAGGGGAGCAGTATATGTAGTGAGGGGATGCAGTAAGATGACGTAGTGTATGCCGTGAGGGGACCCAGTGTATGCAGTGAGGGAATGCAGTGCATGCAGTGAGGAGATGCACATCGTACCCAGTTTCTTTGCGATTTTAAAATTTTTCTTGGAGTCAAGCACCCCAAATCCAATTCGCTTCTTCTCCAGAACCTGAGCTGCGAGCTGAAAATAGAGAATCATGTGTGAGCGCACTTATTGTAACAAAACCCGTGACACCCTTATGCCCACCCAGCCCCCACAATGGACTCCCCAAAATTGTGGGATAAATTTTTCTTCAAATGTTCCCTTTTTATAATTTATATTTACCTTCCATGGATGTTCGGATATTCGAACGGCGTTTGGTAAGAAGAGACTACCGAACAAGAGACATACATTAACTATATCCACGAACAGCTTTGTTTGGTGTTACGGCTCCCGCGGTAGGAGAGGGGTTACAGCCGTATTGGTCGTTCCCTTCCCGAATACAGAGGTAGCCACTGAGCGCTCCAAACTGCCGAACAGCAATCACACGAAGCAATTAGTCTCCTAAACAGCCAAACAAGTGTAATCCATTTGAGTAATCCCCCCAATGACGAGACAAAGTTCCGTATTGAGGGTCAGCAGGAATCTGGTTTATTGAGGACTACCTGCCCGGTATTTATGCAGTACTCCCACCTGGTGGACACTCCCCTAGGGGACCAAATGGGAGACTGTGACAAGGACATTACATTGACCAATCAGAGTGTTACACATGTAGCCATGCCCCTTTAATTACCCAAGACCCTCTGCTCTGCTGGGAGCTAATTGTGATGTAATTCAATTATCTCCCTGGATAAAGACCAAACGCCATTTTAAGTGACCATAACAAAATGCATAAAAATATATAATTTTACAATAAATGGACATAATACAGGCATTTAACGTGTCCCCAGATAGCTGGGATCTGAGCGCACAAAAGTACCGAATAGCGCTCAGATCCTATGCACAAAGTCCAATCGTCAAAGTGTTCACAAAGTCTGTTCTCCATATGAATAGACTCCACGGGATGGCTATCTGGGGTTTGACAAAATACCGAATACAGGGATGTTCGTGAGTTTTCTACCGAAGGAGAAGGGAGGTCGGCGGCTTCAGCGGTGTTCGTGCCAAAAAGTGTCCGTTTTGAGTTCCATGAGTTTATCGCCGAACAACGCTGAGCGTTCGTGGATTTAAAATGGCCGCGACCTCGTGTTCGGGATATGAATGTGGTCACCCAGCTACAGGCATCAGTTAAGGTGTCTGCGGTTAACCTCAACGTTCTAATGGGGCCAAGAGGTTGACCAGCAGCACACTTCTCTACTGGGTGGCCGGCCGTTCGGGAGTTTTGTTCGGTAGTTTCCGGGAAGCATATAGAGTTCAACACGAATGGGGAAAGACACTAATCAAATAAAATAACACTAATTCAAGCAAACAAAGTAATAGTAGTTCCATGTAAATCCAAGACAGAGGGCTCTGTCACATTCGGTAATTCTAATGTTATTTCGAATCCTCAAAGTAAACCGGCCGCACAGCCTAATTCTCTGTAACTGTTTTGAGCATGGGACCATGCGTGCGATCGTTCAAAATAATACTTCCATAGAACTCATGAACCCCTTAACGGATCTGGTGATTTTTGGATATGTTGGTCACTCAGATAAGGGCTATCAGGGTATGTAATAATTGTGGAGATTTTATGTGTTTTGGGGGTACTTTTGGGGTTTTGTAAAATTATGTTTTTTTCTGCCTGGAGATAATTGGGTTAATGAAGTATCTGATCCAATTATCTCCCAGGCAGAGGGGAGGGATTGTGTGCTATAAGTGGGAGTGCCTTCCATTGTAAACGTGTTATCATTGGTTTGTAGGTTTGTGTCCCTGTCCCCAACAAGGTCCATGTGGGCGTACACCTTGCTTGGGGACTTGCATAAAAGGCCAGTGTGGCCTTTACCCTCAACATAGAGCCTTGCCTTGTGTTTGTAGGGACCTACTATACAAGCTATATCACTAGCTCTTATAAGAGCTTTACAGCTATACCTGTTATACTCTCTTGGAGGAGAGGCCTTCCCACTGGAAGCTGGATCCAGGAGTTAGTCCAGGGTGGGAAGGGACGGCGACTAGGGGGCTACAGTGCTGATGGTGTCTGGTGAAGTGCTTGGAGTCCTCGGTGAGCACTAGGAGCATCGATCGATGGAGGCACCCGGTCGGGATGGCATGCGGTCCGTCACACTCGGTTTATTGTCGGTTTATTGTCTGTTTATTCTCTGTTTATTCTTGGTTTATTGTTTGTTTATTGTAACAGTCACCTGGGGACTTATGTAACAGTTTACCAGGAGTTGGAGCCCAGTTGCAGGAGATGGCACAGGAAAGAGGAAAAAACCAGAAGCGCAGTACAGAGTAAAGAGAAATCCAAAGGCAGGGTCAGGCGAGAAGCAGAAGTCAGGGCTGGCAGCGGAGTAACGTAGTCGGTAAATCAGGCAGAGGTCAGAGTCCAAGAAATCAGACAGTAGAAAATCAAAGATCTGTCAGGAAACACCAAACCGGCAAAATGACCAGATCCTAAATTTCAGGCAGGGCTGGCTATTACAGCCTGCTAATTAGGTGCAGCTGACCCTAATTGGAAAAGGGCTGCAGGTGGTTCAGTGCTGCTTGATCCAGGCAAGGGGTCAGGAAGCAGAATAATGCAGACAGATATCATGGCAGAGAACCTGACTGGGATGCTGGAGCTGTGAGTTCAAACCTAGCCAGGTCTCTTAAAGGAGCGGCCATGCCTTGCTGTCTGCAGGGCTCGGGCTGTGCCGTGACATTTATTTTCTGTTTATTCTCGGTTTATTCTCTGTTAGCCCGAGTCACACAGTTCTTCTAGTGAGACACAGTTTATGATATAATCATTGACCTTGTGGAAACCTGTGAAACGATGATTAACATTTCAGACAGGTACAAGAAGAAGTGAGAAGACGTCCAATTGCAAACTTCGAGCCAATGAGACGATCACGAGATATCAGAAGAATCAAGATGAATCTGACAGGACTATTCACTTAAGTGAGAACTGTCAGGATTTCCAAGGAATTTAAAGGGAATTTGAAAGTTAGGCAAAATAGGCAAATTAGAAAATTCTTGCAGTCATTTCTGCCTCCAGTTTAGATATTTTGAGTTAGAATTCACTTTGAATTTCTGGCAGTTCTCACTGTAGTGAATAGCCCTGATTGCATACTTGAGAACAGGAAACAGACAAGTATCCAGAAATGAATCCAGAGAACGTGTTGGATCCAGTGACTGAGTGTCGGGAGAAGTAAGATGAGAACCAGGAATGGACAGTGTTGGGGATGAAGAAGCGGGAGGTCCACAGCTGACAAAAAGGATCAGACAGAGAAGAATATTTGGCAGAGGGAGAGAGTGACCCTTGGGATGAGTCATCAGTCACTTTTTGTAACGTAGTTTCATGATATCTCTACGAGGGGAAAGCAACCCAGATGTCCACGGATACGCAGGGAAAACATGCTTGCACACTGTCACATCCCGTTCCTGTATGCGGATCATTTCTGGCCATGGCTTCTGCTATCCAGTACTCTTTTTACAATTCTTGTTTAGTTTTTCTTGGTTTTGGTTTTTCTGGTTTTCTTTTCTATGTCTGGTTTTCTTTATGCTGGGTTTTCTGGAATTCCCAGACTCCTGGATTCCTTTAAATGTTTGCCATTAATCCTTTTTGTTTAGTGTGTTCCTGCTAGCAGTGGTCTCATTCCTCTGCTCCTTTCCTTGCAGGTAAGTACTGTGTGTGTTTTATTGCTAATTTAGTCATGCATATATAGGCACAGGGCCGGCGCTTCCTATAAGGCGAACTAGGCAGCTGCCTAGGGCGCCATATAGGAGGGGGCGACCTGTGCCCCCATCGCCGGCCCTTTAAATGCTGCAGCCGCCTGAGCACTCTGTAGAGAGCACTCAGACGGCTGCCGCACTGCCTCACCTCCCCTTCCCTCTAGCGTGGCCGAGCTCCTCTCCGGTCCGCGACCCGGCCGGACTGATAGGAGTTCGGCCACGCTACAGGGAAGGGGAGGTGAGGAGAAGATTAGGGGAGTAGAAAGCTTACAGGGGGGAGGGAAAAGATTAAAGGGAGGGAGGGAAGTGGAAAAGATGGGAGGGAGGGGGGAGTGGAGAAGATTAAAGGAGGGAGGGGGAGTGGAGAAGATTACAGGGAGGGGGGGGAGTGGAGATGATTACAGGGAGGGAGATGAGATGATTGCAGGAGAGGGAAATGGGGGGAGGGAGATGAGATTACACAGGGGGGGAGTGAGATGATTACGGGGAAGGGGAGGGAAATTAAAGGGAGGGAGGGGGGAGTGGAGATGATTACAGGGAGGGGGAGTGGAGATGATTACAGGGAGGGAGGGGGGCAGAGGAGAGCAGAGACCACGAAGGGGGAGACGAGAGACCACTAATGGAAAGTCGGGGACAAAAGGAGACCACTAAGGGAGGTGGGGGGAGAGGAGAGACCACTAAGGGGCAGGGGAGATCTCTACGGGATGGAAGGGAGAGCTCTATAGAACAGGGGGCAGGACAGGGAGCTCTTTCACACTACGCACACACACACACACAAAATGCATCCCTATACACACAGAAACACAACATGCTTCCCTTACACACAGAGAAATACACAATGCATCCATTACACATACACACATAATGCAACCCTTACACATAAAGACAATGCATCCTTTGCACATATACACAGAAACACACAATGTATCCCTTACACACACATGCAAACACACACTGCTTCTCTTACACACACACAGAAACACAATGCATCTCTTACACACTCAACGCACCCCTTACAGACACACACTGCATCCCTTACATACACAGAAACACACTTTGCATCCCTTATGCATACAAACACAGATTCACACAATGCATCCCTTACACACAACAAGAAACACACAATACATCCCTTATACACAAACACACAATGCTTTCTATCCCTTACACACAAACACACTGCTTCCACTACACACAAACACACTGCATCACCTGCACAAACTGGTATCCCTATACATTACATACCATAAGCACACATATTAGATCCTCTACAAAAACTCATAACACATCCCCTACACACTCCACTCCCTGTGAGCGAACTCATGGGTGGGTGGAACATATAAGTGGACTTATGAGTGGGCCTTATGGGCATACTCACCGTCAGGCCCTGGAGCCCAGACCTTGAGCTGTGTAAGGGGCCCCCCAAAATGGAGCTGCTTCCCGTTCTCCCAGAACATTGAATTTTGTGACCACAGTTACAAACAGCCTCCAGAGAGCCTCTTCTACACCAGACCAGTGGAGCCAGACTGCAGCCAGAGCCCATCACCATCATCATCTGATTGTAAGTAGGCAATCTAGTATATTATTATTAGTGACGCTAATCTATAATAAGGTGGGTGGGAGGCAAATCTTTCTTTTGCCTAGGGCGGCAAAAATCCTTGCACCGGCCCTGTATAGGCAGTTAGGACCCACCGTAATTGGAGTACTTTGGCACAGTGGTGGGCGACATACATCTTGGCCATTTATGTATGTCTAAATCTCCAATGTTTATTACATTTATAGTATTTAGTTATTTCTCCTCTTGTTTTGCCTTGTATCTCTTGTCTTGTTTTATTTTATCTTGTATTCCATGCAGTGGCGTACACATGACCCATGGGGCCCCGGTGCAAAAATTGATCCGTGGGCCTCCCCCACGCGCGGGCCAGGCCGCAACACATGGCGGTGGGCACCTGGTCGCAGGGGTTACAGGGCTGCAACCCCTGCGACCGCGGTATGTACGCCAGTGCATGCAGATGCACACACACTTAAAGGACCACTCTAGGCACCCAGACCACTTCAGCTTAATGAAGTGGTCTGGGTGCCAGGTCCAGCTAGGGTTAACCCATTTTTTCATAAACAGTTTATGAATGGGTTAAGCCTTCCCCTATTTCCTCTAGCGGCTGTCTCATTGACAGCCGCTAGAGGCGCTTGCGTGCTTCACACTGTGATTTTCACAGTGAGAGCACGCCAGCGTCCATAGGAAAGCATTATGAATGCTTTCCTATGTGACCGGCTGAATGCGTGCACAGCTCTTGCCGCGCGTGCGCATACAGCCGACGGGAGGAGAAGAGGAGGATCGGAGGAGGAGAGCTCTCCACCCAGCGGTGGAAAAAGGTAAGTTTTACCCCTTTCCAGAGCCGGGGAGGGTCCTGAGTATGTTTTCCTGCAGACACCCAGATCACATCAGCTCAATGAAGTTGTCTGGGTGTCAGGTCCCTCTAGTTTTAACCCTGCAGCTGAAAACATAGCAGTTTCAGAGAAACTGCTATGTTTCACTGAGGGTTAATCCAGCCTCTAGTGGCTGTCTCACTGACAGCCGCTAGAGGAGCACACTGAACGTCCATAGGAAAGCATTGAGTAATACTTTCCTATGGGCGGTTTGAATGCGTGCGCGGTCGCATTCGGAGCTGAGAGGCTGAGGGATCCCCAGCGCCAAGGGAGTCCGGCGCTGGAGAAAGGTAAGTGCTGAAGACACACACACACTTACAGACGCATACACACTAGCTAACAGACACACACATTTACTGACAGAAACACAGTCAGCGACAGACATACATACACACTCACTTACAAAACATACACTCTCATTGGCAAACACACACTCACTAACAGACATCAAACAGACTCACTAACACACACACTCAGTAAGACACACACAGTAACACACACACTAACACTCACTAGCAGACACACACTCTAACACTCACACACACTAACACTGACACTAACACACTAGCAGACACACACACTAACACTCACTCTAACACTCACACTAACACTCACTAGCAGACACACACACTAACACTGCTCTAACACTCACACTACTTACACTCTAGCAGACACACACTAACTTACTCACTCTAACACTCACACCTAACACTCACTAGCAGACACACACACTAACACTCACTCTAACACTCACTCTAACACTCACACACACTCAAACACTGTACTAATAGCACTTTATTAAAGTCCCCCCAGCCTCCTTGCCTTTGGGTGCTGGGGGATTCTAGTCCAGTGGTGCTGCTGGGCTCCTGGTAGGGTGGCGGTCGGGCAGGCAGGCGGGCAGGCGAGAGGGAGCACTCAGTGCTTCCTCTTCCGACTCCCTCGCGTGCAGCGTGGTAAGGGATGCAGGAACCCGAAGGGAAGATGGCGGTATCTTCGGCTCCGGTCATCAATCTTGATCTTGAGGGCTGCACGCCCGTTCGACCGGCCACCCGCCTTCCGGGTGTCAGCAGGGTCAGCCTCGGGGGGCCCTGGGGTGGTCGGCTCCTGGGCCCCCCAGGGGAAGAGGCTGGCCCTGTGGGTACATACCGGGTCGCAGGGGCGGCCGGGCCCCCTGGTGGGCCGGGCCCGGTCGCAGCCGCAACCCCTGCGACCCTGGTATGTACGCCACTGATTCCATGTACAGTCCTGTCCTGCCCTATCCATGTCCTGTTCATGTTTTCCTCATGTCTTGTGTACATGTTCTGGGTTCTTCTAATCTTGTCTTGTTATCGTGTTTGGTGCCTGTTCTATTCTTACCTGGTTTCTAGTACTGGATACATATCTGCATAATATCGAGCTCCTGGGATCCGCAGAAGCTGCATCAGGACCCTGGTATGTGGCCGCACAAACCCTGGTGCTCAACACCAGGGGGCGTGTGGTTACCCTGCACCAGACCCTAATTGTTCTTTTCTACGCTGTGACTCCTACCATCATCAGACATACAGGGGTCCCGGTCTCTGGACACATACGCAAAAAATGATCTCAATAGCTGAGAACTCTATAAGCCACTCTGACACACGACATTAATGACATATTCCAGTATGGAAGGACAGGGGTCACAAAATAAAGCCCCCTTTAAATTATTTTATTTGTTTTTTACTTTACATATCATAACCTTGCACTGCGGTATAAAACAAGTCATTCAAAAACTCAAAAACAGTATGACTCTCTGCAATGAGGTGGGGGAGGGATTCTGTAGTTGTTATGGTACTTGCATTGTTACTTTACCTTCTCATATAGAAGCTTGGCTCATGTCTATGGACCATTTGCTGGGAGCGGCCATTAACCTTCTGTGTGACTGTTGGGCATAGAATCAAGACGAAAAGATTTATCACTTTCTAATAGTTATCAGCATGTTATTTGATAACAGCGGCTGGAAGGAGACCTGACCCTCGGCCTGACACCTTCTCATCCTCTTCACATGTCTTAACATCCCAGGGTGTGAATTACTGGCGTACGGCCATGCCAAGCTGCTAAAGTGTCATCTTGAAGGAGAAACAGAGCAGCTTGCGAAACCTCAGTGTCAGCCAAGTGTTGGAGGGATAGTCATTAAACTGGTCAGGTAATTCCAGATTTAAAGCCACAGCTCAATTCTTTTTCGATCTCAGCTCCATCGGCCTAAAATGTGCAGGTCATACCTCCATCCTTCTCAGTGACTGGTATTTAGAGGGTTAATACGAGTAAACCAACTGGAAGTTACAGATACACCATCATGTAACCTGTGTAATATTAAGGACAAACTGTGCTCCCTGCACAGGAAACAAACATGGAGGCTGTTCTGTCTGTGAGTCCCTGCATTCTGCTGCTTAACACATGGGACACTATACGGGACTACTGCCGCCATTACTGCGTTAATCAATACAGGATTCCAGCCACCATTACTGCGTTAATCAATACGGGACTCCAGCCACCATTACTGCGTTAATCAATATGGGATTCCTGCCGCCATTACTGCGTTAATCAATACGGGACTACAGCCACCATTACTGCGTTAATCAATACGGGACTACAGCCACCATTACTGCGTTAATCAATACAGGATTCCAGCCGCCATTACTGCGTTAATCAATACTGGATTACAGCCGCCATTACTGCGTTAATCAATACAGGATTCCAGCCACCATTACTGCGTTAATCAATATGGGATTCCTGCCGCCATTACTGCATTAATCAATACGGGACTACTGCCACCATTACTGCGTTAATCAATATGGGATTCCTGCCGCCATTACTGCGTTAATCAATACAGGATTCCAGCCACCATTACTGCGTTAATCAATATGGGATTCCTGCCGCCATTACTGCGTTAATCAATACGGGACTACAGCCACCATTACTGCGTTAATCAATACAGGATTCCAGCCGCCATTACTGCGTTAATCAATACTGGATTACAGCCGCCATTACTGCGTTAATCAATACAGGATTCCAGCCACCATTACTGCGTAAATCAATACGGTACTACTGCCACCATTACTGCGTTAATCAATACGGGACTACTGCCACCATTACTGCGTTAATCAATACAGGACTTCAGCCACCATTACTGCGTTAATCAATACGGAATTCCAGCCACCATTACTGCGTTAATCAATACGGGATTCCAGCTGCCATTACTGCGTTAATCAATACGGGATTCCAGCCACCATTACTGCGTTAATCAATACAGGATTCCAGCCACCATTACTGCGTTAATCAATACGGGATTCCAGCCGCCATTACTGCGTTAATCAATACGGGATTCCAGCCGCCATTACTACGTTAATCAATACAGGATTCCGGCCACCATTACTGTGTTAATCAATACGGGACTCCAGCCACCATTACTGCATTAATCAATACGGGACTCCAGCTACCATTACTGCGTTAATCAATACAGGATTCCAGCCACCATTACTGCGTTAATCAATACGGGATTCCAGCCACCATTACTGCATTAATCAATACGGGACTCCAGCCACCATTACTGCGTTAATCAATACGGGATTCCAGCCACCATTACTGCATTAATCAATACGGGACTCCAGCCACCATTACTGTGTTAATCAATACGGGACTCCAGCCACCATTACTGCGTTAATCAATACGTGTTTCCAGCCACCATTACTGCGTTAATCAATATGGGATTCCAGCCGCCATTACTGCGTTAATCAATACAGGACTCCAGCTGCCATTACTGCGTTAATCAATACAGGATTCCTGCCACCATTACTGCGTTAATCAATACAGGATTCCTGCCACCATTACTGCGTTAATCAATAAGGGACTCCAGCCACCATTACTGCGTTAATCAATACGGAATTCCAGCCGCCATTACTGCGTTAATCAATACAGGACTCCAGCTGCCATTACTGCGTTAATCAATACAGGATTCCTGCCACCATTACTGCGTTAATCAATACAGGATTCCAGCCACTATTACTGCGTTAATCAATAAGGGACTCCAGCCACCATTACTGCGTTAATCAATACAGGATTCCAGCTGCCATTACTGCGTTAATCAATACAGGATTCCAGCCACTATTACTGCGTTAATCAATACGGAATTCCAGCCACCATTACTGCATTAATCAATACAGGATTCCAGCCACCATTACTGCGTTAATCAATACAGGATTCCTGCGTTAATCAATACAGGACTCCAGCCACCATTACTGCATTAATCAATACAGGACTCCAGCCACCATTACTGCGTTAATCAATACAGGACTCAGGCCACCTTAATCAATAGAACTTGTGCAGAGACTTCATTTTATAAATAAAACGCCTCCTGAATACTAAACGGTGTATTTTTTTTAATTTATATAGTGTGTTAAAAATCCCAGCCTGGACTGTCCCTTCGAAGCCAAAAGAAGGATAACTGTAGCCCAAGCGTGTCTCCCACATTAAAGGACCACTATAGTGCCAGGAAAACATACCAGTTTTCCTGGCACTACAGTGCTCTGAGGGTGCCCCCACCCTCAGGGACCCCCTCCCGCTGGATGGCGAGGAAGGGGTTAAACTTTGAAGCGCCGGGTGGGGAGCTCTCCTCCTCCTCTTCGGCAGAATGCGCATGTGCGGCAGGAGCTGTGCGCAAATTCAGCCAGTCTCCTAGGAAAGCATTCATAATGCTTTCCTATGGATGCTGGCGTCTTCTCACTGTGATTTTCAATGAGACAGCCACTAGAGGCTGGATTAACCCTATTATAAACCTGCTATGTTTATAAAAAAAAGGGTTAATCATAGAGGGACCTGGCACCCAGACCACTTTAAGGTACTACACAGAGTAAGGGAGCGGTTACTAAAATCTGTTCATGTCTGAGACACACAATCCGTTTCCTGTGACCTCATAACCGCCGGTAACACCTCCACATCCTACATATTCATAGTGTGAAACAGGCCCGGACTGGCCATCGGGCACACCGGGCAAATGCCCGGTGGGCCGCGATGGCCGTGGGGCCGAGGCCGGCAGGGAGATCACAGGATCTCTCCTGACGGTCTTTGCAGGGCCGGCGCTATCTGAACGACGGCCCTGCAGTAGTCCATGGAGGGCCGGTGGGGAGATCAGAGATCTCCCCACCGGCCCACATGCAGGATAGTGCGGCCGCCGGGGGAGAGAGGGAGGGAGCCAGCCTGCCAGCAGAGGAACCCAGCGGAGCTTTAACTAACAGCTCCGCCGGGTTCCTCTCGCGAGATTCGGAGCGTTGCCATGGCAACGCTCCGGGTCTCGCGAAAGTGAACTCTAGTTCACTCACCACTAAGACCACCAGGGATGGATGGCAGCCCCAGCAGCAGGATCCCCCTCCCAGGCTAAAGGTAAGCAGGGAGGGGGGAAATAATCACCTAACTAACATCAGCCTCACAGACACCCCTAACACTCACAGCACCCTCATTCACACACACACACTGCACCCCTGAGACTCACAGCACACACACACTGCACCGCTGACACTCACAGCACACACACACACACACACTGCACCCCTGACATGAACAGCACCCTCAATCACACACACTGCACCCCTGACACAGCACACACACACACACACACACTCACATCACCCTCACTCACACACACACACTGCACACCTAACACTTATAGCACCCTCACACACACACACACACAGACACACACAGACACTGCACCCCTAACACTTACAGCACCCACACACTGCACCCCTGACATGCACAGCACACACCCTATCTGGCCCCGCCCCCTTTGTAGTGGGCCGCTGTAATTAAAAAATGCCCGGGCCGAATTATCTTCCCAGTCCGGCCCTGGTGTGAAACCAAAAAGTGACATCTCTGGGGGCCAGCTGAGGCATGGAGGTCATTGAGGGCACAGGCCACCAGCCCAATACAAACCCACTATGTGCAGACTCTGTGCTTTTATATATACCAGGTATCTACTCCCACTGGAAGGCTATTCCAGGTATCTACTACCCTTTCTATATCACTGTTACTGCTCCCACTGGAAGGCTATTCCAGGTATCTACTACTCGTTCTATATCACTGTTACTAATCCCACTGGAAGGCTATTCCAGGTATCTACTGCCCTTTCTATATCACTGTTACCGCTCCCACTGGAAGGCTATTCCAGGTATCTACTACCCTTTCTTTATCACTGTTAGCCATTACCACTTCCACTGGAAGGCTATTCCAGGTATCTACTACCCTTTCTATATCACTGTTAGCCATTACCACTTCCACTGGAAGGCTGTTCCAGGTATCTACTACCCTTTCTATATCACTGTTAGCCATTACCACTTCCACTGGAAGGCTATTCCAGGTATCTACTACCCTTTCTATATCACTGTTACTACTCCCACTGGAAGGCTATTCCAGGTATCTACTACCCTTTCTATATCACTGTTACTGCTCCCACTGGAAGGCTATTCCAGGTATCTACTACCCTTTCTATATCACTGTTACTGCTCCCACTGGAAGGCTATTCCATGTATCTACTACCCTTTTTATATCACTGTTACTGCTCCCACTGGAAGGCTATTCCAGGTATCTACTACCCTTTCTATATCACTGTTACTGCTCCCACTGAAAGGCTATTCATGGTATCTACTACCCTTTCTATATCACTGTTACTACTCCCACTGGAAGGCTATTCCGGGTATCTACTACCCTTTCTATATCACTGTTACCGCTCCCACTGGAAGGCTATTCCAGGTGTCTACTACCCTTTCTATATCACTGTTACTGCTCCCACTTTAAGGCTATTCCGGGTATCTACTACCCTTTCTATATCACTGTTACTGCTCCCACTGGAAGGCTATTTCAGGTATCTACTACCCTTCCTATATCACTGTTACTGCTCCCACTGGAAGGCTATTCCAGGTATCTACTACCCTTCCTATATCACTGTTACTGCTCCCACTGGAAGGCTATTCCAGGTATCT